TTCCCGCGTTTATTGCCCCTAAACCTTAATTCCTCATATGAATCCCTGGATTGGAAGTGCTGGACCGGAATCCCCAGACTGGAAGTGTTAGACTGGAATCGCTGGCTTGGAAGAGTTAGACTGAACTAGAGGGATGAACGTGAAACCTGGAACTGGAAGTGACTGACTAGGATTGCTGGGCTGTGCATGCTAGACAGACGTGCTAGACTGTATTACTAAGACTGAACTGCTGAAGCAGCTGATACAGGCGTTCAGTGAGGTGGTTCAGGGTCTCTCTAGTCAGTAGGTGTTTAAACAAGAGGGGAAACTCACAATAAGGGTCATCTAGCAACTACCTTCACCCTGTACTAGCTCTCAAACAACTTCGTACATCATCTACCTCAACTGTCAACTCCTGCTCTATTCACCTACCACCTACCCTCTCCCTCAGCCCCCTTACATCTTCCTCCTACCCTTCTCTTTTCCCCCCTGAGCACCTACCTTCTCTTTCAACCCCCCACCCCCCCTGCACCTCCTACCCTCTTCCTAACCCCCCCCCCTTTTTTTTACCTACCTCCTACCTTCTCCCTCACCCCCTCTACACCTACCTCCTCCCACTCTTACCCTTACTCCAACGTCTTAAAGTGAGTGAGGGAGTGGCAAGTCTGATGTGTGCATCAGAGTGGCAAGTCTGATGTCTGCATTACATGAAAAAAGGCTCACATTCCCAATCCGTGGCCATACGTATATATTCGGAGGCGGCAATCTGGCTTCCTTGACTGGAAGTGGTGTGGTCAGCGGAATGAGACGCGGGAGTGGTCCAGAGCGTCCCTCCACCCCGTTAACGACTGCCCCTTTACACACACACACACACACACACACACACACACACACACACACACACACACACACACACACACACACACACACACACACACACACACACTGTCCCTACCATCTACTCATCCTCAGCACCACTTCTGTTCGGAACCGTCACCGAATGACTTCGAGTGTTCAAATTCTTCCTTTTAGCCCCAAAAATATGCTATTCAATATCGTTCGTAACATTTTTTAATGCAAGAATTGTGTTTTTTTCTTTTTATGAGACATAATAATTTCTGGAATTTATGAGTGTGTGAGAAGGTGGAGCTTGGGACGTGTGCGGGAGCCTCGCCAGGGTAGAGGTACCCAACAGCCGCCCTGGACCACCCGCCGCCCACCCTCATGCCACCCACCGCCCAGTACTGCCACCCACCGCCCAGTATTGCCACCCGCTGCCCAGTACTGCCACCCGCCGCCCAGTACTGCCACCCGCCGCCAGTACTGCCACCCGCTGCCCAGTACTGCCACCCGCCGCCCATCCTCATGCCACCCGCCGCCCACCCTCATGCCACCCACCGCCCAGTACTGCCACCCACCGCCCAGTACTGCCACCCGCTGCCCAGTACTGCCACCCGCCGCCCATCCTCATGCCACCCGCCGCCCACCCTCATGCCACCCACCGCCCAGTACTGCCACCCACCGCCCAGTACTGCCACCACCGCCCAGACTCATGCCACCCGCCGCCCAGTGCTGCCACCCGCCGCCAGTACTGCCACCCACCGCCCAGTACTGCCACCCACCGCCCAGACTCATGCCACCCGCCGCCCAGTGCTGCCACCCGCCGCCCAGTACTGCCACCCACCGCCCAGACTCATGCACCCGCCGCCCACCCTCATGCCACCCGCCGCCCACCCTCATGCCACCCACCGCCCAGTACTGCCACCCGCCGCCCACCCTCATGCCACCCGCCGCCCACCCTCATGCCACCCGCCGCCCAGTACTGCCACCCACCGCCCAGACTCATGCCACCCGCCGCCCACCCTCATGCCACCCACCGCCCAGTACTGCCACCCGCCGCCCACCCTCATGCCACCCGCCGCCCACCCTCATGCCATCATGTTGTCAACCAAAATTCTCGTGATTATCACCATCAGGAAAAACCGTGGAGGAGGGAAGAAGCGGCGGGGTTATGATCACGACATACAAACTACTGAGCGGGTAGACACATGACCAGCAAATACACCATCTTTATATTGTGTAAAATAATACAGTCGAATAATATAGTTGTAATACAGTCGTGTAAGATTACATCTTGGGGAGCCGGTCGACCGAGCGGACAGCACGCTGGGCTTGTGATCCTGGGTTCGATCCCAGGCGCCGGCGAGAAACAATGGGCAAAGTTTCTTTCGCCCTATGCCCCTGTTACCTAGCAGTAAAATAGGTACCTGGGTGTTAGTCAGCTGTCACGGGCTGCTTCCTGGGGGTGGAGGCCTGGTCGAGGACCGGGCCGCGGGGACACTAAAGCCCCGAAATCATCTCAAGATAACCTCAAGAAGAGTGGAATAAATGGAATGAAATATTTTGTTCCCAGTATGGGTGGTCAACGAGAGGAATGCACCAAAGAAGTTGTGGAAGCCACCTCCATCCACAATTTTCAAACAAATTCAACAAGAAATATAAACGATCGAGGAGTCAGACAGCTGCTACGGGCTGCTTCCTGGATGTGTGTAACAAAAAGGAGGCCTGGTGGAGGACCGGGCCGCGGGGACGCTAAGTCCCGAAATCATTTAAATTTTGCCCCGAGGGGCGAGTTTATTGGGCAGCGCCACTCATCTTACCCACTCTCTCACAGAGTAGTTAGTAAATGGAATGCATTAGGCAGTGATGTGGTGGAGGCTGACTCCATACACAGTTTCAAGTGTAGATATGATAGAGCCCAGTAGGCTCAGGAATCTGTACACCAGTTGATTGACGGTTGAGAGGCGGGACCAAAGAGCCAAAGCTCAACCCCCGCAAGCACAATTAGGTGAGTACAATTAGGTGAGTACACACCCACAGGGCCGCCCACCAACACACCCACAGGGCCGCCCACCAACACACCCACACACGCCCACTAACCAGGCAACAGCCAGATAGTGTTAAGTGCCCAGATCCCAGGGTATTCCAACTACCATCAGGAAGACAATCCCAAGAATATCGTCTAGGAATTATCAAGAGTTCCCTGACGCGATTTTTCGCTAAATCGCTTCGCTGGTATGGAATTACGGGGAGATAATTGCCAGATTCCAATCGGAAGTTTTCGCCTGCAATAAGCAGGAGAATGTTGGCTTTACAGCCTTCGAAACAGCTAGCGGAGGGAATTATGAGGGGAAAGTGCCTAGTCATTACGACTATATAGCACTTGGAAGGGGTCAGGATAAGGATTTGGGATGGGACGGGGGGAAGGAATGGTGCCCAACCACTTGGATTGAACGCCGACCTGCATGAAGCGAGACCGTCGCTATACCGTCCAGCTAGCGAGAATGTAGATTATATTACGAGTGTTCACACACACACACAGGGGCCTCGTAGCCTGGTGGATAGCGCGCAGGACTCGTAATTCTGTGGCGCGGGTTCGATTCCCGCACGAGGCAGAAACAAATGGGCAAAGTTTCTTTCACCCTAAGTGCCCCTGTTACCTAGCAGTAAATAGGTACCTGGGAGTTAGTCAGCTGTCACGGGCTGCTTCCTGGGGTGTGTGTGTGTGTGGTGTGGGAAAAAAAAAAAAAAAAGTAGTTAGTAAACAGTTGATTGACAGTTGAGAGGCGGGCCGAAAGAGCAAAGCTCAACCCCGCAAAAACACAACTAGTAAACACACACACACACACATATATATATATATATATATATATATATATATATATATATATATATATATATATATATATATATATATATATATATATATATGTATATATATATAATGTGTGTGTATAATGTGTGGAGGGTAAGTGGTGGAGGCGGGAGACCAAGAACAACATCTCGTCCAACACAATATCTACATCACCCAATTTCTCATCCCAGCCGAATCATGTTAATTTGGGTTTCAATGCCCCTCGAATGGAATTTTATTATTTTGCAGTTACATTTGGGTAGTTACATTACTATTAAACGTAACTGCAGCCACCTCTTCCCTCGCCCTCCACCCTCCCACACCCTCCACTAGTGAATTAAAGTTTTCAGGAATGAATTAATATTTCAATTCATTGTCACCAAGAGTTAGGGGGAAGGGGGAGGAGGAGTGTAGTGGTGGTCGTCGTCGTCACTGCGGGGGGGGGGGGGGGTCGTCGCCAGGGGTGGTCGGTGTGGTGGTGGTCGTCATTGTGGGTCGTTATCCAAATGGAGTAATACTGTATTAATTACAACCATTAGCTAATGAAGCCGCTCAGCCTCACATGCAGGAGCAGACGTCACTGTGTGTGTGTGTGTGTGTGTGTGTATACTCACCTATTTGTGCTTGCGGGGGTTGAGCTTTGGCTCTTTGGTCCCGCCTCTCGACTGTCAATCAACTGGTGTACAGATTCCTGAGCCTACTGTGTGTGTGTGTGTGTGTGTGTGCGTGCGTGTGTGTGTGTGTGTGTGTGTGTGTGTGTGTGTGTGTGTGTGTGTGTGTGTGTGGTGGTGATGCAAAGCTGAGTACTGTACCACCACACCCCAAAGCTGAGTACCGTACCACCACACCCCAACGCTGAGTACTGTACCACCACACCCCAAAGCTGAGTACTGTACCACCACACCCCAACGCTGAGTACTGTACCACCACACCACAAAGCTGAGTACTGTACCACCACACCCCAACGCTGAGTACTGTACCACCACACCCCAAAGCTGAGTACCGTACCACCACACCCCAACGCTGAGTACTGTACCACCACACCCCAAAGCTGAGTACTGTACCACCACACCCCAACGCTGAGTACTGTACCACCACACCACAAAGCTGAGTACTGTACCACCACACCCCAACGCTGAGTACTGTACCACCACACCACAAAGCTGAGTACTGTACCACCACACCACAAAGCTGAGTACTGTACCACCACACCACAAAGCTGAGTACTGTACACCACACCCCAACGCTGAGTACTGTACCACCACACCCCAAAGCTGAGTACTGTACCACCACACCCCAACGCTGAGTACTGTACCACCACACCACAAAGCGAGTACTGTACCACCACACCCCAACGCTGAGTACTGTACCACCACACCCCAAAGCTGAGTACTGTACCACCACACCCCAACGCTGAGTACTGTACCACCACACCCCAACGCTGAGTACTGTACCACCACACCCCAAAGCTGAGTACTGTACCACCACACCCCAACGCTGAGTACTGTACCACCACACCCCAAAGCTGAGTACTGTACCACCACACCCCAACGCTGAGTACTGTACCACCACACCCCAACGCTGAGTACTGTACCACCACACCCCAACGCTGAGTACTGTACCACCACACCCCAACGCTGAGTACTGTACCACCACACCCCAACGCTGAGTACTGTACCACCACACCCCAACGCTGAGTACTGTACCACCACACCCCAAAGCTGAGTACTGTACCACCACACCCCAACGCTGAGTACTGTACCACCACACCCCAAAGCTGAGTACTGTACCACCACACCCCAACGCTGAGTACTGTACCACCACACCCCAACGCTGAGTACTGTACCACCACACCCCAACGCTGAGTACTGTATCACCACACCACAAAGCTGAGTACTGTACCACCACACCACTAAGCTGAGTACTGTACCACCACACCACAAAGCTGAGTACTGTACCACCACACCACAAAGCTGAGTACTGTACCACCACACCCCAACGCTCAGTACTGTACCACCACACCACAACGCTCAGTGCTGTACCACTTAAAGAGAGAAAACCGAGTAATCGACAGTCACCACCTCACCTCACAAACCAAGGCAAATTAAATAACTTGCTAATATAGTCTTAACTATAGGTTAATATAAGATCTGGACTACCTGGTGTGCTTATAAGAGCGTAGTGTATCACCCACCACAGCTGGAGTATCATCCACCCGCTCAAAATGAAACTTGAAAGATCCCAATAAATATATAATCAAAATGAAAATTCCGATAAGAATACTGTGTTTACAGTCAGGAAATGTGAACATTTGGGTATGAACGGAGCGATAGTGGCGCCCGGGGCCTCCAGAATATTAGGAAAGTTAGTTATGCATTCTCTTTCTAATATGCAAATTACGTCTTGAGTTCCGACTTCAACCTTCTTATTTGCCTGTTATTGACGCCATAGTCAGACCTTGTGAGTCTTATGACCAAGATGATCACCTTCACCTGAGCTGTAACGGGAGGCTGAGACCGGGGGTGATGGTGATTGGGAAAGTGAGGCTGGGGTGATGGTGAGGCAGGACGCAGGGGATGGTGAATGTGACTGTCACTAATCACATTGATTCATAACACTCGCATCATCTCAGAGTGATCCCCTGGTCCCTACAGCATACTCTCCAGACTGGTTACAGAGTACTCACAGTGCTCGCCAGGCTGGTTACTGAGTACTCACAGTACTCTCCAGACTGGTTACAGAGTACTCACAGTACTCGCCAGACTGGTTACAGAGTACTCACAGTACTCGCCAGACTGGTTACAGAGTACTCACAGTACTCGCCAGACTGGTTACAGAGTACTCACAGTACTCTCCAGACGGGTTACAGAGTACTCACAGTACTCTCCAGACTGGTTACAGAGTACTCACAGTACTCTCCAGACTGGTTACAGAGTACTCACAGTACTCTCCAGATTGGTTACAGAGTACTCACAATACTCTCCAGACGGGTTACAGAGTACTCACAGTACTCTTCAGACGGGTTACAGAGTACTCACAGTACTCTCCAGACTGGTTACAGAGTACTCACAGTACTCTCCAGACTGGTTACAGAGTACTCACAGTACTCTCCAGACTGGTTACAGAGTACTCACAGTACTCTCCAGACGGGTTACAGAGTACTCACAGTACTCTTCAGACGGGTTACAGAGTACTCAAAGTACTCTCCAGACGGGTTACAGAGTACTCACAGTACTCTTCAGACGGGTTACAGAGTACTCACAGTACTCTCCAGGCTGGTTACAGAGTACTCACAGTACTCTCCAGACTGGTTACAGAGTACTCACAGTACTCTCCAGACTGGTTACAGAGTACTCAC